TAAAGAGGGTGTCTGGTTCAGTATAGAATAGATGTTAATAATTTGCATATTAATAGAAATTCTGCAGTTATTCTTTAGGGTCCATGCATCTGAAGATGGTCAATGGAGATGTTGTAAAATTTGGGTAAGCAAATTATAGGAAAGTTTGGAAGACAGATGGATTATGTATAACACTTTGCTTTGTGATCTTGATCTCAGAGCTCGCTAATTCCTGTAAGACCTCCTCTGTCTTTGGCATACTCTGTCTAGGCAAATAAGAAACAATAACAGCTCACTGGGAATCCCCTAGAGATTCCCTATTCAGAGAATTAAGTACAATGGCCTCCAGAAAAAGGCATTTTGGATCTCTGAGAGTCCTCATATTTCTTCCTAGACTATTCCTTGAACCTCATATTCCTTCATTCTTCTTGAAATTCACATGACCCCAGCATCTTTGTATGCAATGAAATATATCTGAAAACAACCTCATTTAAAAGAATAAATCTATTAAGGAGTTCAGAACTTTCTGGCGTGAAATGAAAAATATTGATTGCTTCCTATCTGTTAGCAATGAAATCCCATCCAGTTAATTAACCTGCTCAGCGATAAAGTTTATTTTTGCCCTTCACCTTCAGTTCCAAATCTTTAAAGCTATTAAAACAAGTACGTGGTCAATGAATAAATCTTCTCACAGAGAGGCATTTGGAACCTTCTATAAACTGGCTCCATTCACGTTTCTGCCTTTACTTTTAGCTACTTGCCTCCAAGCACCTTTCACCCCAACCAAATAGAAGGGCTGACGTATTCTGTGTTCCTGCTGCCAAGAATTGCTTCCTTCTTCTGAATTCTATATCTTTTTAACTCAGTTTGGAAGTCATTTATTGAAAAGGCTTTCCCAGAACTCTGGCACTGGTCCCTACCTCCCCCAACATCTCCCCACCTCTCCTCATCACTGCTAAACTGTAGGTATTATCTCCCTATTCTGAGCACCCCTAAAACTTTTTATTCTTTGATAGCACTTATTGTGTGCCTTACATTACGGTTATGCCTGTATTTCTAGTATGGACCTCTTGAGGATTCAGTTCTAACCGATTCATTTTTGTGCTCCTGTATCTTCCAACATCATTCCTTCCTATGATTGGTGTTTCGTAAATGTTTTCTGAATGTTTAAATGGAGGCCCATTGATTTAACATTTTCTTTATGGTTGTTTTTCCTCTTGTGGCCCATGATTCAACACTACTATAGTGGAAGCCTAATTCAGTGAGATATTTTTCAGGATTCATATTACACTCTAAACAGAATTCACAAGGTTCTGTCTTTCTATAGACAGTTCAATTGTTTCCTCCATCATTAGCAGTTTTCTATTTATAGAAATATTTCACTTGCAATAGCAGAGTGGAGCAAGATAATTCTTCTTTTGGCCATCACCCATTTCTACAGCTCTGAATGCAGGCTCCAAATCTCTCTGAGATGTGGATTTTCTATCCCCTGCCCCAGTTTTCTGCACAACTGGAATTAGTAATTTTGTAGGTATAAAACTTTAAAACTCAATTTTAGATGTGACAGATACTCAGTTGTGTTTACATTGAAGGGGAGAAGCATGTAGTTTTATTGGGAAGAAAAGAAAAGAAAAGAAAAGGAAAGGAAAGGCCATTGGTCCATTCAGTCTTTTCCCTGTTCACCTTCTGGACTTTAGGTGCTGCATTGTATGATACCGAAGAAAATACAAACACTGGTCCATTCAAAAAACTCTAAGTCATATGAAGGGAGACAAGCTTGTGATGAGATCAGCTTTGTAAAGAGCGGCCTGCACATTGCCAGAGGCAGACGCAGGGTAATGTAGAGCACAGATGCTTTTAAGCAGAGTTTATTTTGCAGCAGTGTATTTTCATGCAGCTACCGATAATCTAAGCATTATTTTACAGCTATTAAAACATTAGCATCATTATATTTATATTTATTTATTGTATTGTGCATGTGTGTGCCATGGTACACACATGGGAGTAAAAAAAAAAAAAACAAACAAACAAAAAAAAAAAACTTGGAAGAATCAGTTCTCTCCATCAACCAGGAATCCCTAAAATCAAACTCAGGTAGGTCAAGCTTGAAGGTGAGCACGTTCATCTGTTGAGCCATCATGCTGGCCTGGCATCATTTTCAAATACTGACTTTGAGCAGGATCTCAGCATCCGTGTAAGGTGACGGGATATGATTCAGCCAAGCAGCCATGCTTAGTTGGCCAAGACCCAGATATAGGCCTTTCCTCCTTAGGGCTCAAGGGAATGAATCATTCATGGTGACACCAACAAAAGGGCAGTTTTCTTATGATTCATTGAGCTGCAGCTTCATGCCAATGATATTTTGGTGAGGCGATTTTACATTCTACTCTGCCCATAGCTTTAGAATGTCTAAATGCCTCAGCATAATTAGCCCAGCTGTGTGGATGACTCATTGGAGTGTGTTCTCTGAGTCTGTGAGCCGAGAGGGGTGGCTAGGGGTGGGGTGGGCTTCTAAATTATAAATGGCCAGAGTCTGCAGTTGTAAACACTGAGTATTTATACTCAACCCGTTTTTTGTTTCCTTCTTCTTGGGGCTCTCTGCATTTAGGGATCCTCTTCTGCTCATTAGAAATTCCTTGAGAAGGGTGGGTTCAGTGATACAAACAAAGAGAAGAAAGGGTAGAGGAAATGAAAATCAATTTCAAATTTCTCTTTGCTGGTGGCTCTGTGGAAGATTTGAATTCGGGGGTGGGGGTTAGGGATATTAGTTAACATGAGGCTATATTATTGCCTGGATTCTTACGACTCACAGCAGAAAGAACATGACAGCTAAAAGTAAAGAAGACTGTGGCAATGGTGGCTATAAGCCATTAACAAATACATACCTCGCCTCAAGCCTAGGCATATTAGGCATGACTTAGGCATATGGGAATGAAAACCCAAAACACAACAGAGAGAGGGGAGAGAGAGGGGGAGGAGGAGAGGAGAGAAAGAACCTTTTCTTTCCAGTTTAAATTCTAGAAGGCGAAATTGCTTGAAGGTTTAACAAAACGCTTTTCTCATGAGGTCTTAAGCCACGAGAGATTTAATCTCCATCGGGTCCCAGCTTCGATATAGAAGTCACAGAACTTTATATTTTTCACAGCTTACAAGGTGATAATCTACTTCAAGTGCTTGTATAGAAGAGCACCGTGGATCCTGGTGAGAGGGGAACTGTATCGGGTGTGTAATGAGCTGAGGAAGTGCTGAGAGGGTACAGTGGGCAGGGAGTTTACGAATCGTACTGTCCACTCGGATCCTTTCAAGCTGGGAGAAGACGTGGGAGTGACTACACGCCGCACTCCATCCAAGTTTCCATTCTGCCTCTTTTACTCTCCACTGCCTCCTCCCTCCTCTCCTAAATCCCTCCTTCTCTTCGTACCTCCCTTTCCCCTGGTCCCTGCCCATCCTCTTCCTTCAAACAGTAGTCTCTCTCCTCCTCTAGCTCCCTCTCTCCCAGTCTCTTTCCCTCCTCCATCCCTCGGCAGCGTCTGCGTCAGACCCCCACTAGCGTGACGCGCGCGGGGGCCCTGGGTAGGAGCTGTCCACTCACCCAGGTGCTGAACGCACCAGCGGCTTCCCTAGCCGCGCGGGTGGAAGTAGCTGGGTGCCTTCTCCGCTCCAAGAAGCTTGTTTCCAGTCGTCGGACTACCGCCCCGGCACCTCCCTTCCAGCACCACCCCTCTGGGAACTGAGCCAGGGGGGCAGCGGTGGCGGCGGCGGGTGCTGAGCAACAGCGGAAGACAACACCTGGCAGCAGGCTGGAATCTGATTTGCTTCCTTTTCGGCTTCTCTGAGATATATTTATATACGGTTCTGGGGAGTCTCCAGGACCAAGCTGGAGCCAAGTGCCGTCTGTCTGACCACCTCGGCCACACCGCCTCTATTCCCCCCTCCCCACCTTCGGCTTACACCGCAAACAAGCCATACCTCGGTGCATCTGAGAGGAGAGGTAGCAACAACCGCGAGCCCAGCCAGCCAGAGGCAGCCGGAGGAAGGAGGGGCGGCGTGGGGGTGGGAGCAGAGAGCGGACTGAGGCCGCCCAAGGTGGGGAGAGCGGAGGCAGAGCTGCCTACAGGACCTGGCAGCCGCCCTCCTCCGCCCCCACACGCCAGAAGCACTCTTTTCTGATTATCCAAGAATTAAATTGTTCCATTACTATTATTTTATTTTATTTTTATTTTTTTGTTCTCCTTATCACTTCCCCACCACCCCTACCCCCACGCCTGCCTTGTCTTTGGTTGCATGGCAGCACTGCCCGGGAGCCGGGGCTCAGGGCCAGCCCCTCGGGAAGGAAGAGGAGGAGGATCATGAAGCCCGGAGTCGCGACCGGGCTGGACCGCGGGCAGCAGCCAGAGGACCAGCCGGAGCAGCCCCGGCCCGGGAGACACCAGGACGCCGAGCAGCAGTCGATTCTGCCGCCCCAGCAGCAGCAGCAGCACCGCCGGGCGCGTGCAGACCCAGAGCAGGAGGAGGAGGGCGACAGCGACCCAGAAGAGGACGAGGAGGAGAAAGCGAAGCCACTTTCCAGCCCGGACCTGCCCATCTTCCAGCTCTCCAACCTCCCCCGAAGGGACCTTTGATGGAACCAAGGGGAGGGGCCTCCGATTTACAGACTGCCGCTGAAGTGGGCTGGGGGCTGAGATCATGTAACTATTCCTTTCTCCTGTCCCCTCCCACACTCCCCTTTCTCTGCCTCCTTTCTCTGCTCCATCACCTTCCCAACCCCAAACACACATCCTTCCTCTATTCGGGACCTTAGGCTCTGAAAGGAAGCAACCCTTTGAGGGTTAATGATCTTTTTCCTCCACCCTTTCCTGGTCCACCGCCCTACATCCCACCTCTCTGTGTAGCCTTTTGGCTGCATAGGCAAAGCACAAGTTCTTTGCCCAATTTCACCCTCAACCAGCCCTCCAATCCTCTCTTAAGAGCAACTTTGGTGCTGCTGGGTGGGTGGGTGGGGGGCGTTGATTGCCCCAGTTTTCTGCCCAAGAGAATTAGAACTTTTCCTCCCTCCCTCCCCCATTTTGCCTTCCCCTAACCACTTCTACCTGAGGAAGCCTATCTTTTTTTCTCTCTCACGTGCAATCCTCAATTCTTCACTGAGCTGGGTTCCCTAAGCCCGGATCTAGCTGCTCCAAATTTGATTTATAATTTTCTCCACCCTTTTATATGAAAGAGACTTAGCACAGCCTAGAGATTTGAGAAGAACCTAGCAACCCTTTCCTTGGGAACTTTTTAATAATTACACATTGGTCATCACCCCAGCCTTGATGTTTCTGTTGCCCTGATCTCAGTAGTCAAAGACAGAAAGGAGACAACAGCCAGAACTAAGTCTGAGGCTGGGGTGGGGCTGCCAGGGAAAGAAAACTTTTTTCTTTTTTTTTTTTTTTACTTTGCATTTTCCTAGAAGAGTTCAGAATCATTGACTCACAGTTGTCAGTCTAAGGGATAATTTATTTACTGCTTGAAGGGGTTATAAAAAGAGCCAATAAGAAAAGAGGCTCCTCCATAACACAGAAACACTGTGGACCCCAAGCCCCACCCTTATCTACTTCTTCAAAGACTCCAGCTGCCCCTCTCCAGTCCTCTGCTTCCCCCATGCGCCTGGGTGGGCTGCTGTGGTGGTGGTGCTGCTGCTGTGGCTGGTACTGCTGTGGACTGTGCACCCCAGCCCCCCAGATGTTGCGCCACCAGGGTCTCCTCAAGTGCCGCTGCCGAATGCTCTTCAATGACCTGAAGGTTTTCCTCCTGAGGCGCCCCCCTCCAGCGCCCCTGCCCATGCACGGTGACCCCCAGCTCCCTGGTGTGGCGGCCAACAACAACACCCTTCCGGCTCTGGGTGCCGGAGGGTGGGCAGGCTGGAGAGGCCCCCGAGAAGCAGTGGGCAGGGAGACCCCTCCTCTGCCACCTCCACCACCTTTGCCTCCTTCTGTGGAAGATGACTGGGATGGCCCAGCCGCAGGACCGCCTGCCTCCCTGCTCAGCAGTGCCTCCTCTGATGAACTCTGTAAGGAGAAAGCTGAGGACTGCTACTCTCTAGGAAGTAGCTTGGACAGTGGTATGAGGACTCCCCTCTGCCGCATCTGTTTCCAGGGACCAGAACAGGTGAGTCCTCTCCCCTTCCCCTGCTTTGGTGTGTGGTATATCCAGGCCACACAGATTGCCACTTAATTATTTGCCCCAGGGAACCATTATGCTATGTCTACTGTCAAGGACTGTAGTGTTTAGACTTTCTTAATGATGTTTCTTGTGGTGAAGCTTGACCGATAGGTGCCCGAGGGAGCTTGTTTGGTAACTAGCTCAGTTTCCTCCCCTCAGTGCAAGTCTTTTTAATTTTATCCCCAAACTTTCACAAGCACCTTAGAACAGAAGATCCAGAAGCAGTGACATGAAGAGACTCAGAGGGACCTTCATGCTTGTTGCTAAAACAAACAAACAAATCAAACACCTTTAGCTGGCTTCTTAGTTGTAAAATCACCTCCCCACCCCAACCCATATTCAGCTCTACATTCAAATTTCCTCCGTTTCTGAAACTGTGACAAGATTATGTTATCGAGTCCTATTCTTACAGATTGAAGTACGAAAAGTCCTGCTTGTTTGGTTTCTGTTTCATTTTGTTTCTCTGAGGCTATTTCAGTTTGCCAAGACACTTCTTGGTGAGCTTACATTTTCCTGTATTGGAAGCAAATAATCTAAGCCAAAGCTCAAGGGACACTGGGAAAGAGTCTTGCTGGATCTAGTCCCCTTCCCTCACCTTCCCTTAAAGTTTCCCCATCCATGGCATGGAACAGAGATTTTTTTTTTCCTCCCCCAAATAAGGCAGCTTATCCCTTCCTTATCTATTCAGATTTCCACAGACAATACCCCCAGCCCCCATTACTCCACCGACTGCCTGGTGTTCACAGCACTGGAGAGATGTGTGGTAATTCACAACAGTTCTGAACTGTGAGAACATGTACCAAAGAATCCCAGGTAGAAAAGCTCGCCTGGAAATCAGCTCTCACCAGTGATGTAGGAGAAGGGACGTTTGATTGGGGTGTAGACAGAGTGCTGTGTTCACCTCAGAGACCTCTTCAGTGGACTCTTGAAGTGGAGAGATCCTGAGAGTTCATGAATGGGTGTCAGTGCTGCTGGACACCGCATTGGAGCTCCTGGCAAGCCCTGTTCTTGCTTACTCTATGGGGTGCAGGCTTAGCTGACATCTTCATTCATTTTCCCCCTCTTGTCTCTGAGTGGATGAAACACTTAGAGACTGGTGATGCCTGGAGCTGCAGCCTGGGCATTATGAAAGGAATTAGCGAATAAGTATCTCAGAGAGACCGAGGGCTGGCCTCCTCCTCCTTAAGACTATGATTACCTAGAGCAGCAAGTGAAATGCTGGTGGATGAGGAGGACAAGGTTGCCAACTACTGCCTTTCTTCTAGCACGCTGCTTCATTGCCAATACCATGCTCCTGGAGATGGTGTATGGGCTCTGTGGCTAATAGCAAAGATGAGAGCCTCACTTTTGGTCAGGATTTGTCTCATTGGTGGACCTCAGCTTTTCCAAAGCATAGAGTGATTTGGCTTATTACCTTCCTAAACTCTTCCTTCCTTCTTCCATATGGGCTGGTACATGTGTGCCTATCATAGGGGCTGCTGGAAATTCGCCTTCTGGCAAGAGCTCTCTTGTCTCTAGAAAACAGCAAGTCTTGGAATGTGTGCTGAGATAATATTTCACCTGCTGTGAAATATTCTTCAAATAACTCTGTGCCTCTAGGCCCTTATTCCAACTTCCGTGAGATACTGTTTGCTTCCCGTATCCTTTCTTTGTAGGAGAGCCCAGAAGTGTGAAAATACCTTGAAAGAGATTAACATATGATTAACATGTTTTCTGATTATGGAAAAGCTGTATTTTATTGGGGGGGGGGAAGATTGTCAGCAATGCTATGAACTGCCCTCTTGGAGTGCAAGGTCTGATCAAGGGTTGTGGACTTTTGCTGTTCAATATCTTTATTATTTGTCATAAATGGAGCTTTGAATAAAAAAGCTAACATCACTAGAGGAATGAATGGGTTCTCTTATTGCATGGGAGGGTGGAAGGGGCTGTGTCTGCCTTGAGACTGGGCCAAATCAATCCCTTCTTCAAAGGGATTATCATGTTTGGCAGGGTTCATGTGTTGTAGGACACAAGTGGTTTTAATGAGATTGTGTTACATTGGTCACGGAGGAACGTGAGCGTTACGTTAGATGTGAAGAATGTGGTTTTCCACTTCTCACTTTTCTTCACAGACTTTTAATGAGGAAGGAAGACAAAAGAGAGGAGCTGGGGCCACACTAGAGAAAAGTAAGAGGTGGGGTAGAGAAAGAAAGAGAGAGAGAAAGAGAGAGAGAGAGGAAGAAGTGGTCAGGTGGAGATTTCTGTATTTCAGTTCCTGTTGTGTGAGAGAGAGAGAGGCAGAGAGAGAGAGAGAGAGAGAGAGAGAGAGAGAGAGAGAGAGCTGACAAGCAGTTGTCTCTACCTGGTCTAAATAGCTGAATGTCTTGGTCTTTTCCCAGTCCAAACAAAGGAACTGAAAATTTCCCCTCCCACATACCACACTCTCATTTGCCGATACTCTTAAGATCCGAAAGATTGAATATATATATATAAATAAATAAGATTTGGTCTCTTCTTGAAAATGCTTAGATGTTAAGTGAGGGGTTATGGGAAGATTCTGTTAGGTTCACATTTGGAGGTTTCCACGAAGACTTTGCATTCATTGGCTCATGCACTCGTTTAACAAATGATTAAAAGCCACACTGTGCAATGGCTCCAGTAGCAAGCATCTGCTAGTGAACAAAGCAGATGAGATCTCTGCTGTCTTGAAGCTGGCCTTCCAGAGGGGACACAGGAATGAGCCAGTAGATAAACAAGGTGATTTCAGATGGAGAACCACAGTGAAAACAAGTGAGACAAGACCACACAGGAAAATGAGTTAAGAAAAAGGCAAGGGTAAGACAAGTACATCCATATTCGACTGTCAGACAGGAAGAGCCTTCCTAAGAGTGCTCCCTCCGAGTTCTCACCTAAATGATGATAAGGGCCCAGCAGGGCACAGGTTTGGGAAAAGCATATCAGCTTTCTGAAATGACAGACCCAAACATCCAAGTGTGAGCAGACTTAGAATATTTGAGAAACAGAAGAAGAGGTCTGGGAGAAGGGAGGGCGGGGTGTGAACAATGCTCTGACAACCTGTTGGCTCTATGCTAGGAAGTTCCTGGGTAGCCGTTCTGTTCTCCTCTCAGCCATTTGTTCAAATAAGACTGTGCTCAAAGACCCCTGAGAGCGTACAGCAGGGGCTTTTGCAGGGCCCCTCACTCTCTACTTGTGGCTAATGCTGCATAATCCTCCTGGAAGAACAGTTGCACCGTGGTTGGTAAACTGAGGCTGCCTGAAGCCAGATGGCCCTAACTGGAGTGATGAGCTAGTTACACGGCCCAACCGTGCCTCAGATTTCTCGTTTGTAAAATAACGACAGTTCCGGCTTTGTAGGATGATTCTGAACACCAGGTCCCATACTACAGAAGCAGCCTGTTGTTGTGATTATTCTCTCAGATGCAAGACAGTACTCCCTAGCTTTGTTAAAGTGTGTCCCGGCTCACAGGCTGGCAGGAGGGCTGGGAACATTTGTGGACAGCTTCTCTTGCAACACATAATGCTCTAGGTACAGAGCACTGTTCCTGTTTCAAACACCAAAGTCTTTAATAAGAGACAAGCTAGGCCCTGCTGCTTTGCTGAGCAGGGGCTAGAGACGCACGTTAGATATAGCCCTGTCCTCTGGGATGTCACAATCTAACCCAGACATCACAGGGCCTGACAGAGATCAAGAGCGCACAGATGGTGGACCTGAGTGAATTTTGTTATTATCTGAACAAGAAAGAGGCAGGTTTAAAAACAGCCAGTGGGCTGAATACCTATTCAGGAAGATGGGATTGAAGGATGGGGGTGGGGGTGGTTTGCAGTTTGCTATTTTCCCCCCAATTAGTCAGGAAGGCTTCTCTGTTGCTGCTGAAGATGGAGTGAGAAGAAACAGATTCAGGCTGAAAGGTTGAGGTTTGATAGAAGGCAGCAGAGGAGATGTGAGAAAAGCGTGCCTTCACAAAGAGGTGAAGCCGCCTGCTAGGCTGGGAAGGTGTGGAGTGCCTGGAGGTGGGGCTAAGGGCTAAGCATGTGCAGGTAAGGGAGGGAACACATGTTTTGGATCTAACGAGAAGCAGGAAACAGGTCTGGAGGAATTTATCGTACTTGGGTGCCTTTTTTGTTCTTTCAAGGCTAGCTCCCTGAGAGCTTTGTTCACAGGGAGCGAAAATAATGTGGAAGGTTTTAGCCATTGTAGTAGGTTGTTGGACCATAAAATAAAGCTTTTTTTTTTTTTTTTTTTTTTTTTTTTTTTTTTTTTTTTTTTTTT